CAACGTAACCTATGAAAATATGAAAATACCCTTGACTGCCCATGAACCCTATTTCGCGCCCAGATTTCTGTTTTCGTGGAGTTTTCCATTTTTGACCATGAAATTGCATGATTTGGCTTTGGAGGTCTTCATAAGAAATGTAGGTTTCTGTCTTGGCTTCGAAGTGCCATAAGATTTGTTTCAATCTGATAAGGGTAGCTTCAGTTATGGATATTGTGCCGAAAGGTGTTAAACAGAACTTTTATACGTTAATTGCGATCGTTGCGGAAAATTTACGGTTGAGGGAATGAATTCCGGTTTCTAGGGTTTAATTGGGGGTTTTTATAATGGTGGCTCTTAAGCTTCTAATTAGCTTTGATTGAAAAGTTTTGTGGCCTAATTGGATGTATTTTATTGCCTATTAACCGTATGTGTGATTGGTGTTGTTTGTAGGTTGGAAATGAAGCATTTATGGGGAAATGCTGTCCGAACTTTGAGAATGTATGATTTCTTTGAATTTGTGATTTAGGGCTTTGATTCGGACAAGGTAAGGATATATGATGGATGGTTCCTGAGCCGTGGAGGTGAGTGACCCTAAACTATTTCCAAAGTACTTGTGAAATGTTTCTTGCATTATGTACTCGATTGCATATCATGCGTGCTTGCATGTGGGTTCATGACATGATTTGGCTTCAATGAGTTCTTGGGGAGTCTTGTGCTAAACACCAACGTCTCCACCACTTGTTTATGTGCATCTGGAGCTCAAAAAGGGGCTCCCTCTCACTGTTCAACGTTAAAGGATCTATTTGAGCGTTGGATGTTTAAGTGTAATGATTTCACTGGCTCACCAGAGAAAAAATACGTACATTTGATATCGGAATCATGACATCATCGAAATGCATTATTGTGAAATATATTTGATTATTGATTTTATTGGTTACTCACTGAGCTTCTAGCTCACCCCAAAAATATTTTATTCCCCTCCACAGGGCTCGTGGCGAAGGAATGCTTGTAGTACTTATTCACGTGACTGGATGGCATATATCTTGTACCGTTTGGATTTGGAATCATTTTATGTATAGTTGGGAATTAGTTTCCGCTTCGCATGTGATATGTAATTCTTGGAGAATTTGATGTAAAGTTGGGATATATCTTGTAATTTAATTGAGGAGTTTAGTGAACGACTGAGTCCCGGTGAGAGCTGGGCAGGCGGCCCGCCGAACCCTCTGGTTCGCCCTTGGGAGCGGGGTCGTCACACTATCACTTCTAGAATGGAAGCTTATCCTTTACTTTTTTTTTAAAGCCTATCGCTATTTTTGAAATAATAACATAAAAAAAGGTTTATGGATGAAGTAATCGCAATGACAAATGGTTACGGTTGCAGAAAGCGGAGAAAGTTGGGAACCATCGATTACCTTTCGAATCAAAGTAGCGACGAGCCAAGTATTAAGACTACAGGAGGAGAAGCAAAGCTTTGTAGATAGCTTCGCTTCCTTGTCATTTTTTTTTGGCGACTAGCTTTCAAGTGGGTGGCTTGGCTACCTTCAGCATCGGTCAAATACCTATCAATAATAAGCCGGAATGGTGGGGAAGTAGGCCCTCCCTACTTCAATGGAAAGGGGGGAATCGCCCTTTCACAGCCGCTCCTCTACAACTACTTTTCGCCCAACATGATCACGAACGAAGATAGAGAATTGCATAGATAGGACGACGAAATGAACCAACCCACTTGTTGTGAGGACTTGCAAATTCCTTATATTTTTCTTAAAAATTCCCTTTTATTTCAAAATTATTACTTTATAATAGTCCTACCACCCAATCACCCCACAATAAGTGCAAATGAACATAGAATTAAGGGTTTTCCCTTTCCGTTTTCAAGTTAGCGCGAATTAGGATTTTTATGCCTATCCGTAGTGTGACTATCGGGTACGGAGGGTGGATCAAATTGGGTGATTAAGAGTGAGGTTTAAATGATATTAAGTGTGTGATTAGAAGTGATAATAATAAGTTAGTGAATTATAAGTTAAAGCCCTAGTATACGTGATTTAAGGAAAATCGGCTTGAACCGACGGGTATCATTCGCTACCGATTGGATACCGATTGAACATATCATTTGACCACCACTTTATCAAGTTAATCTCATTGTTATTAGAGCCTAAATATCAGCCCTCAATCTGATCAAAGTGGCCAAAATTTTTGACTTCCAGAATGATAGCATCATAGTACGTGACCACGTCTACAATGGCTCGAGTGATCAAGGGGGTGAGGATCGCGTGCAAGCTCCAAGTGGATCCATTACTAGAGCTCGAGCAAAGAGACTTCGTGAGCAACTCAGTGTACTTATTCAGGCCATACACAAGTCCTTTGAAGGATTCATACACTTAAGTGAAGGTGATCGTGGTCCGGTATTGAGCATTGAAGCTACACCTGAGTATTAGGGTCTTACCAAACCCTAGTTAGCGAGATTCGCATTATAGTCATTTAATTCCACATTAGTTGATTAGATTGAATAATTGGCTAAGTGCATGTTGCACATAGAAATGCCAAGGGTAAGATTGCTTTTTAGTCATCATTATTTGTTAAGGTGAGCTGCCTTGGAGGGAAAGCCCACATAAGGCCCGACTCATCGAGGGCCCATATTAGCACACCTTTAGTTCCTTTTCCTTACTAGTTTAGGGTTTACTTGTAGCCTATATAAGGCACCCCATTACTCCCACAAAGGTAGACACTTTTATGATAAAAATATTGAGAGGGTTTTCTCCATAGCTTTCGAGCAAACCTCGAACAACTTAGAGTTATACTCTAGTGTTCTTGTTCGGCTTATCAATTCAAGAATCGCACTTGAATTGTGGCGCCTTCTACACTTGCCTCAGGTTCACTAATTCGTTTGATTACGGGTTGAGATAGTATCAACAAGTTCATAGTCACGGGGATTAGAGGGGTCGTAGGGTTTCCGCTGCCACCGTTTCTTGCATCCGACGTCAAATCCAACAAGCGATCTTGGGTCGCGAATCTCCTTACCAACGAGATTTGTATCAGCTGGCATCAGAGCTAGCTTGTTGGTAACATCGTTATCCCTCTTTTCGTGCCTTAATTCGTATCTGTCTCGGTAGCTAAAAAAAATAATAATAAATTTTGTGCACGTTGCATTCTGGCCGCGAGTTTCCTTTGTTTTCGAGTCTGGTCATCATTGTTTGTTTCTGTCTTGTTGTCGTCTTCAATTTCTGGAATTTCTGGAAATCAAGTGTGTTGTGTTTGGTTTGGTGGTGTCGATTCCAGCAGTCGCTAAAATCAAAAAAAAGAAAGAAACAAACCCACACCGCTAGTGTTCTTATTGTCGCTTCCGTATTGCTGTGTCCGTTGAACCTTGTGCAATCTGTGCCTTGTTATTGCCAATTACTGCTGAGTCTCGGGTGGATAAATCTGGTCATGTCTTGCTGATTGTTTTCTCCACCGCTTGGGACCAGCAAATTGAAGAATCAAGCGGTGCTAGTAACATCGAGTCATAGGAGTTCGATCCGTGCCGCACTTGCTTTGGCAAGTCTGTCCGAATTGTCCCCTGATTGTTGTGCTTGTCCATTGCTCAGTTTTTTGTCTATTTCTTTTGTGATTAGGTCCCAAACCTTAGTCCAAAAAAAAACAAAGGGGGGGCAAGAAAAATTCTGGTCGGTGTTCCTTCCAAGTCGCGGAGTTGCCGTTATGGTAGTTCCCAATTTCTGCTCGTGTCTCCTTGTCGAATTGTGGTTGGTTCTAAAGCTGTTCTTGGTCCGTGTCTTAGTTATTTATTTTCTAGGAGAATATTGGTACCTTGTTCTTGAATTTCGTAAGCAAAACTTCACGGTTTCTTGGAGCTCTTGAAGAGGTTCTTGATCCTTTGAAATCTGGAAATTTGCAGTGATATTCTTGAAGCTATTTGCTGGAAATTTTTGTGTTTGGTTTACAACTCTTGATTGTTAAAGGTTGGTCTATACCTAGTGCTGAACCTTGACCCGTTTGGGAACCAAAACCTAGCCTATCTGATTACCAAAAAAAAAAAAAAAACACAGAAACCATCAAACAGGCCGCACTTAAACTCAGCCAGACCTGGGAAAATTCTGGGTAGCCTAGACCAGTGTTCATTCAAAGCTGCTGCTGTACAAAAAAAAAAAAAAGTATAGCAAGCACATTCGAAACAAGAGTGTCTTGCATGCTTTTATTGAATTAGGAAACCCATTCGGCTGAACAACTAGAAAAAAAAAATAAAGAAACAGCCGCTACAAGGGTTCTACACCAACCAGCTTCTAAAACCGAAGGGGCTACCAACGTCATCCTATTTCCTAATTTATAGCCACCGCTTGCCCATACTTATCCCCAGTCTTGGTACCCTTTCCAAGCACTTGGGAAAGGATCTAGTCGGCTGAACTTCAAAAAAAAAAACCAAAAGGGACCGACAAGACCAAGTGGCCCTCCAACTCACTTGTCTTCTATTTGGTAGCTGGTCCTTCCCTGGAGTTACTCCTAAGGTGTGTCCACACCTCTGCAACAAAAAAGAAACCAGCACCTTGAGTCAGCTAGAACAAGAGTAAACATTCCACGAAAATCCAGCAAAGGAAAAGGACCAATTTCCTTGTCGGTTAGAGCCTTGAGCGTCATTCTTAATTTTTTGTAGCTTTGGTGTCAAGTCTTTTCCCGATTTTTATTCTTGAATATATTCTACCAATCCATTCTTAGTGTCCTAATTTTGTTTTCCAAGAAAATCTCCACTCTTACGAACCTCAATTCTAGCGTGAACTTGATTTTTTAAGCTAAATTTGAGCACTTGAGGAGCTCTACTTTCTTCAAGGTTTTGCAAGGGGCTGTGAGAGAATATTTTGGTGAGCTTATTAGAGTGATTTGAGTGACCATATATGAGTGTGAGAGTATACACTTAGGGAGTGAAGTGACAAAAAAAAAGAGAAAAGAAGCAAAAGAAAACATTACTTTTTTTTTTCCCTATTTCCTTTTTCTTTGCTACTAACCCTTGCAGGTACACTTGAGACTCCATGTCTAGTGGAAACGAAGGAGTATCCCATCCCATGAACTTTGAACAGATGATGGAGCAAATGGATAGGCGTTTCCAACGCATGTTAGAACCCATTCAAGATGAGTTGCTGCAACTTCGAGCATCTGGAACACCAAAAACCTCTAAGTCCATGCGAAGGCGAATGGACATGGAGGAGTCTTCCGATGGTTCCAATAATGATAATGATGATGAGGAACCTCGAATTCGACCAAGGCAAAGGAACCAGACTGGACCTACTGATGTATTCAAGGGAATCAAGATGCAAATCCCTGAGTTCAAAGGACGGTCCGATCTCGAGGCCTTTCTCGAATGGTTATCCAAGATCGAAATGGTCTTTTCTTGCCAAAACTACACCGAGGTGCAAAAGGTGCAATTGGCCACCATGGAATTCACTGAGTACGCTGTGGTTTGGTGGGACCAAATCAAGAAGTCTAGAAGGAGAAATGGGCTACCTGAGCTCGTTCCATGGCCCGAGCTTCGAGCCATGATGCACACCCGCTTTGTACCTGGACATTACACTAGGGATTTGTACCACCGATTACAAACCTTAGTCCAGGGCAACCGGAGTGTGGATGAGTACCACAAGGAGATGGAGATCCTGATGCTTAGAGCGAATGTACAGGAGGATCCTGAAGCCACCATGGCGAGATTCTTGAGCGGGTTACGACCCGATATTGCTGAACGAGTGGAACTTCAACACTATATCGTCGAGCAAAGGCTCAAGAGGAGGGGTACCACTCGATCGAATTTCGGCAATACCACCTACTCTACCAACCGCCCATTCCAACCAAGGAATGATTCTCGGCCTTCACCAAATGCTCCTACACCAAAGCCGAGATTCGAGGGAGGTAAGATGGGCAACCCTAGTATTAGTAAGCCGCCCTCTTCTACTCCAAAATTTGAGGAGCCTAGGGTACAAACTAGAGCTCGTGATACTCGATGTTTCAAATGCCAAGGTAGAGGCCATATTGCTAGTCAATGTCTCAATCAAAGGACTATGATTACAATGCAAAATGGTGAGATCGTGAGTGAGGACGAAGCCGAGCATGAAGGCATGCCACCTCTTGACGGAGGTAGTGATGGGGAATCGCCAAATGAAGAGAAGTTTAGTACACCCGAGGGTCATTTTGGGACTGCATTGGTTGCAAGGAGAGCATTAACGGCACGTGTTAAGGAGGACGAGCTTCAACGGGAGAACATTTTCTACACCAGGTGCTTCATCAACCAAGCACTTTGTAGTGTGATTATTGATAGTGGGAGCTGCACAAATGTGGCTAGTTCACTCATGGTGGACAACTTGAAGTTGCCTACAAGGGATCACCCGCGACCTTACAAACTCCAATGGCTCAACAATTCTCGGGAGGTTCGAGTAACCAAGCAGGTTCTTATATCCTTTCAAATCCATAAATATTCTGATGAAGTATTATGTGATGTAGTTCCTATGCAGGCTAGTCACATTATACTAGGTAGGCCTTGGCAGTTTGACAGACAGGTAACTTTTGATGGTGTGACTAATAAATATAGCTTCTTGTACACTAATAAGAAAGTCACACTAGCTCCCCTTTCCCCCAAACAAGTGCATGAGAACCAATTGAAGTTGCAACAAGAGTTTGCGAAGTATAGTGCAAAAAGAAAAGAAAATGAGAGAGTCGAGGCAAAAAAAGAGAGGAAAAAGGCTATAGATAGCTCGGCAAGTGAGGTAAAATCTGAGGGAAAACAAATGCTCCTGATAAAAGCCAAGAAAGTGAGGAAGTTAATGACAGATGAGCAGCCACTTCTTATGCTTGTTAGCAAAGAAGTAGCTCTAAATGTGCATGAACTTGATATTGACATACCTCTCGAGGTTAAGTCTCTTTTACAGGAGTATGCTGATGTCTTCCCCGAGGATGTGCCAAGTGGATTGCCGCCACTTAGAGGCATTGAGCATCAAATTGATTTCATCCCTGGGGCTTCATTGCCAAATCGACCAGCTTACAAGAGCAACCCGGAGGAGACTAAGGAGTTGCAAAGGCAAGTGGATGAGTTGCTTGGCAAAGGATGGGCACGTGAGAGCTTAAGCCCGTGTGCTGTTCCAGTCATTCTGGTGCCCTAGAAAGATGGTACGTGGAGAATGTGCACCGATTGTAGAGCCGTAAATGCCATCACGGTAAAGTATCGCCACCCTATACCTCGCTTAGATGACATGCTTGATGAGTTACATGGGGCTGTGTTCTTTACCAAAATTGATCTCAAAAGTGGGTACCATCAAATTAGGATTAAGGAGGGGGATGAATGGAAAACTGCCTTCAAGACTAAGTATGGATTGTATGAGTGGTTAGTAATGCCTTTTGGGCTAACTAATGCACCTAGTACCTTCATGAGGTTAATAAATCATGTTCTGCATCCATTCTTAGGAAAATTTGTGGTAGTTTACTTTGATGATATCTTAATTTATAGCAAGTCTTATGATGAGCATCTAGAGCATATTAGGGCTGTTATGGATGTACTTCGAAGAGAGAAGCTCTATGCCAATCTCAAGAAGTGCAATTTTTGCACTAACGAGCTTGTGTTCCTAGAGTTTGTTATAAGTGCGCAGGGAATGAAGGTGGATGATCAAAAGGTGCAAGCTATTCAAGAGTGGCCAACACCACGGTCCGTGGGTGATGTTCGAAGCTTCCATGGACTTGCGGGTTTCTGTAGGAGATTCGTGAGGGACTTTAGCACCATTGCTGCACCCTTGACCGAGTTGATCAAGAAGAATGAGAACTTCCATTGGGGAGAATCTCAAGAATAGGCCTTTCGCGCTTTAAGCACCAACTCACACACGCACCTGTACTTGCTTTACCTGACTTTTCTAAGACATTTGAAATTGATTGTGATGCTTCAGGTATTGGAGTTGGAGCTGTGTTGAACCAAGGTGGGAGGCTATTGCCTAGTTTAGTGAGAAACTCAATGGGGCTGCACTGAACTACTCAACTTATGATAAAGAGTTGTACGCCCTCATTCGAGCACTACAAGTGTGGCAACACTACTTAAGGCCTAAGGAATTCGTGATACACACCGATCATGAGTCCCTTAAGTACCTTAAGGCCAAGCACACCTTGAGCAAGAAGCATGCAAGATGGATTGCATTCGTGGAGTCCTTTCCGTACGTGATTAAATACAAGGCTGGTAAGTCTAATGTGGTTGTGGATGCACTCTCCGGAAGGTACTCTCTACTCACCTCCTTAGATGCTAAGTTGTTAGGGTTTGAGCTGATTAAAGAGCTCTATACCTAAGATAGTGACTTCGGTGAGTTTTACACTTCTTGCAAACACACTGGGCAAGGTAAGTTCTTCATTTCCGATGGATACTTGTTTTGTACCAATCGGCTTTGCATCCCACATGGATCACTCCGAGAACTCTTGGTAAGGGAATCCCACTCAGGTGGACTTATGGGACACTTTGGGGTTGATAAGACTCTTGCCATGCTGCAGGAACACTTCTATTGGCCGCACATGAGGAGAGATGTTGCACGAGTGGTGGAACGGTGCTTAGCTTGTAAGAAAGCTAAATCCAAGGTACACCTATATGGCCTTTACACCCCATTACCTATTTCTAGTGCACCATGGGTAGATATTTCTATGGATTTTATACTTGGTTTGCCTAGATCCAAGTATGGCCATGACTCCATTTATGTGGTAGTGGATAGGTTCTCTAAAATGGCACACTTCATTGCTTGTCATAAAACGGATGATGCATCTCATATTGCTAACTTATTCTTTAAAGAGATTGTGAGATTGCATGGCATTGCTAGGACCATTGTATCTGATAGAGATGTTAAATTTCTAAGCTACTTTTGGAAGACACTCTGGTCTAAGTTAGGCACCAAATTGCTATTCTCTACTGCTAGTCACCCTCAAACTGATGGCCAAACTGAGGTGGTGAACCGTACATTAGGTACTTTGTTATGTGCTATCATCAAAAAGAACTTGAAATCATGGGAAGAGTGTGTACCTCATGTTGAGTTCGCTTATAATAGGGCTATCCATTCTACTACTGGTTTCTCTCCATTTGAATGCGTTTATGGTTTTAATCCGCTAACACCACTTGATCTAGTGCAATTACCTAGTAATGAGCGTGCACATTTGGATGGTAAGAAACGTGCAAAGTTTGTTAAGCAACTGAATGAGAGAGTCAGGGCCAACAATGAGAGGAGAACTGCTCAATATGTCAAGCAAGCTAACAAGGGTCGCCAAAAGTTGATTCTTGAACCTGGAAATTGGGTGTGGTTACACATGCACAAGGAACGTTTTCCTGTTCAAAGGAGAAACAAATTACAACCACGGGGTGATGGACCCTTTCAAGTGTTAGAGCGCATCAATGACAACGCCTACAAACTTGATCTTCCTGGTGAGTATGGCGTTAGTGCTACATTTATTGTTTCTGACTTAGCCCCTTTTGATGCAGATGATGCTTTTGATTTGAGGGCAAATCCTTCTCAAGAGGAGGGGAATGATAGCATCATAGTACGTGACCACGTCTACAATGGCTCGAGTGATCAAGGGGGTGAGGATCGTGTGCAAGCTCCAAGTGGATCCATTCCTAGAGCTCGAGCAAAGAGACTTCGTGAGCAACTCAGTGTACTTATTCAGACCATACACAAGTCCTTTGAAGGATTCATACACTCAAGTGAAAGTGATCGCGGTCCGGTATTGAGCATTGAAGCTACACCAGAGTATTAGGGTCTTACCAAACCCTAGTTAGCGAGATTCGTATTATAGTCATTTAATTCCACATTAGTTGATTAGATTGAATAATTGGTTAAGTGCATGTTGCACATAGAAATGGCAAGGGTAAGATTGCTTTTTAGTCATCATTATTTGTTAAGGTGAGCTGCCTTGGAGGGAAAGCCCACATGAGGCCCGACTCATCGAGGGCCCATATTAGCACACCTTTAGTTCCTTTTCCTTACTAGTTTAGGGTTTACTTGTAGCCTATATAAGGCACTCCATTACTCCCACAAAGGTAGACACTTTTATGATAAAAATATAGAGAGAGTTTTCTCCATAGCTTTCGAGCAAACCTTGAACAACTTAGAGTTATACTCTAGTGTTCTTGTTCAGCTTATCGATTCAAGAATCACACTTGAATTGTGGCGCCTTCTACACTTGCTTGAGGTTCACTAATTCGTTTGATTACGGGTTGAGATAGTATCAACAAGTTCGTAGTCACGGGGATTAGAGGGGTCGTAGGGTTTCCGCTGCCACCGTTTCTTGCATCCGACGTCAAATCCAAGAAGCGATCTTGGGTCGCGAATCTCCTCACCAACGAGATTCGTATCATAGAACCAAGAGAAAAGAAAAAAAAATTGAGATGAAAATTGTTGGTGACAAGTGGCACTAATCCATGCACCTTTGACCCAAACTAAGACCAAGCCTTATAACCTTTCTTGGCCTTCATTCTTCTCCATTTTTCCAGCCTCCTAGCCATGGATCTTGAGAAAAAAACAAGAGAAAGAAAGCTCTAAATCCATCTTAGATTTAACTTGATTGAGTGAGAAAGCAAGAAAATCAAACCGATTAACTACTAATTTGAGGGCTTAGGAAGCTTGGGAAGCTAAACTTTGGAAGGAGAGATGAAAGATATCCCTTGTAAGCTTATTATTGAGGTATATTGGCTGTCCATCATCTTTAGTTCCTTTATTCTTGCTTAAGTTGCTAAACAACTCATATTTTTGGTTGATTGATAGCTATACAAGTAGTTGTGATGATTTTTGGAGAATTGGTAAGTTAGGGTTTTGTATTGTTCAGCCATATTTCTTCTTGTTTAGATGGAATATGCTGTGAATAAGTGTAGACAAGGAGGTGAAGTTGTAAAGACTCACAAAATTTATCTAATTTTAAACTCCAAATTCTAGCTCATTTAATTATTTACTTGGCCATTTACCCCGAATATTATTTTCTAATCTCTTGAGACCAAATTACATTGATCTATGACTTACTTATATTTTTAGAGTGGCTCGTTTCAAAATTTAATTTCTGAAGGCTCGTGAAGTGAAAATAGTGAATACGCGATTGGAGTAAATAATTGAATCGAGAATACAATAAGTTTGGAAAATTGGAGACTTGTATATTAGTCTCAAAATAGGTATTTTTATGCTTAAGTGCTCAATTATTAGTTAGTAATACTATCGTTATAAGAATTTCTTAGAGATTTCGCTCTATCGCGTATAAATTGGAAGTACGCATTTTTGCGCGCGTGATTAATTGAAGGACCTAAGACTTTTATTTTGGGACTACTAAGAGTGAATAATGATGATATGAATGTAAGTGCACTAGTGCAACAAACTTAAGAGGAATCGAGCACAAAACGCGCGCGTACGTGCACTATTTACTGTTGACTTTTGTGCACCCAATACTTAACCATTAAGCTTCCTTTGGAAGCCTCATTTCAGACCAAAATCTCTCTCTCTTGCTCTCTCATTTGGCCGGCCATCAAGCAAGAAAAACAACTCAAGAGTTCTTCAAATTTCTTCATCAAATCTTCATCAAACTTACTCCAATTCACCTCAAATTCACACCACACTTAGCTAATCACTTGGAGACCACATTAAGCTACAAAAGGGGGCTGCTATCCACGGTTTTCTTAGGCTAAGGAGGGGCTGAAAATTTCTGTCTTGTTCATCCAGCGAAGTAAGTCACGATCAACCTCGATAATCTTGAATTATGGAAGTTCTATTGCACATCTAAGCTTATGCATACATGTGGGTAGCTTGTTTATGTTGGAAAAATGGTTGTGTGGGCTCTATGAACTCCCACATTTGATGGATGGACTGATGTGGTGAATGATGATGTTATTAATGTTAGTTTGGTGCTTAAATTAGTGAAATAATGTTGGGTTGTTGATAGAAACTTAAGGATGGTGCAATGACCAAAAGTGACCATTTTGCCCTTGCTATGTTCATGCACTTTGATGCAAAATTTTGAGATTCTAATGGCTTGATTATGATGTATACATGTTATATTGAGTGTGTGAAAAGTTCATTGAAAAATAACATGATTTGGTCACCCAAATGTGATGATTTCGAGAGCTTAGAAAACTGGAAAATGGTTCCCGTAACTGCCCAGGCAG